CAGGTTTTTAAGAGGTCTGTTAAGCAAACGACACAATCTTCAGACCCAAGTTCACAACTTTTCAAAATAAAAGTTCTCTAATGCTGATCAGTATAACGCATTTCAGCATCAAAACGAATATTGTGGTTTTACTTTGAAGAGACATTGGCAAAGAGGGGTGGATTCTGTGAATGCTGTGGACATGACAGACCTGCGCCCATTGTGCTTCAGTCCATCTGTGTCTGTGTATCAGTCAGAAGTGGGGAAATAAATGTAATCAAAATGATCTGTAAACCACTGCCATAGTTTACCCAAGGACGTAGGTGACATGTATCACATGGTTCACAGAGCTGGCCAAATGAGTAGGCTGCTAAATATAAAGATCCGTGTGCTCTGTCTGTCCACGAACAGAGTAATTATGGAATATATCCATATTGTAATTCAAATGTTACCATATAATCATGACATCTTTATACATAGATAATTATCTGATTACTGACCTATTAACATGTTACAGCACACAATAAATACTATTCTCAATTTGAAGCAACAATTCTCTGCCAATGATTGTTAGAAAAGAAAAGACAAATATGAAATGTTGAGGGAACTCTGACCAAAGGTATTTCACTCTGTTTCATGTTGCACATAGTGCTACAAGATTTCACAAAAAACAGTAAATAATTCATATTTTATGTGCATAAATTGCAGATTATATGTTGCAAAATGATTCCACATAATGAACAACATGTAAGTCAAACCCTACCTTTGTGTCTTGTTGCGCAATCAGCTGAACAACCTTTCAATCTGTAGGAACCTGCAAAATCTGAGAGCAAACACACCAACCACTACCTACTTCATTGTCTGAATGGAGGCCAGGAGAAATAGCAAGACAAGAGAAGGACATATGGAGGCAGGGTCCAAAACTTAGCACCTCCTCAAGTGACCATCAGTAAATAATAAGTATTCTAACAATAGCATCCTCATCTAAAAGCAGAGTTGGCTCAGATTTCAGACTTAAGAGGGAAAAGGGTCCTCACATCTTCTCTTGTGTGCATACGTGATTGCATAAGTCAGAGGTACAAGGTCTGTGGACAGCTGGGAATGGGACCTCTGATGGTGAGCTGACTGCTCCACTCGCGCCTGGAATAGATTACGGCTGAGTGGAGGAGCTCAGAAACCTGATATAAATGCAAACACACTGTCAACAGTACATACGTCCACTGCATGGAGGACAATCAAAAAACTCCTTGCTGTTGCCCAGGCTGAGCAAGGACTGATGTATCACCACCTGTCTAGTGTGTGGCATTTTGTTATAAGGGCAGATCTACAATAAATTGAAATTGAAATTGAAATCCATGTCTCTTCAAATCAGCATTAGGCCTGTTTTACCAGGTATGTCTGGTCATATTAGTTATATCCTTGCTGCAAATTCCATCTGCAATTATAATATTCAAGTAACATGTTTAGTTTTAGATTTTAAGGATTGTGCAGAAATGACAAAAAGTAATGTTGTATAGTTTGTCTGCCTATAACAACTCTTGTGAAATCACTTGATATGTTATATAAAATGTTAACACAGTGAACATGCATTTAGGATACCTACTTTCTTTCAAGCTTTTTTTCACTGAAAAATCAAAAAATACTGAATTTAAAAAGTTAAACAATTGAACATTTATAATTTGAACAATCGTAAAATCGGTTAACAATTTTTTCTTCACTGTTTTTTTGAATTCGTTTTTTTGACAGACAGAGACAAACTGACACGACAGATTGGCCGGTTGATCTCAGTAATGTGAACACAATATGCAGAGAATAAGTTCCTTTTTGTGAATTTGACCTCAAAGCTAAGTGTTCGTTTTGATGAGGAAATGCTTTACACTGAGTTGCATGAGAGTGAAGAAATAGCTGCAATGTTATCTACACAAAAACATCATTCAAACTTATTGAAAGTCCCACACGTGAACAGTAAATAACCAAATTTTGATTCTCATGTAAATATTGAATATAAAATCTTTATTCAGATAATCCAGGTAGGATGAATTTAAATGTAACACTGCATCATAGACTGTTAAAAAAAGGTGTGTGCACTACTTCCAACACGCAAACTATAAAAAGGCCTGGTGTAACATCTGCAGGTCAGTTTATTCTGTTTCACTACTATTTACATTTGCATGTCTACAAAACAAGGTAACAGTTATTTTGGGCATTTTTTTTTTTTACAAGGGATTAGTTAGAGATCTTGGAGGGGGAATTGGAACCAACACGAGCAACCCCAGTGAACTGTTAGATTCAATTCAATTTTATTTGTATAGCGCCAAATCATGATATACATTATCTCAAGGCACTTTACATCGAAGGTCAAGACCTTAAAATCGTATTATTTTGGAGAAACCCAACAGTTCTCACAATGAGCAGCGACTGTGGAGAGAAAAACTCCCTCATTAGGGAGAAACCTCAAGAACCAGACTCAATGTGGGCGGTCATCTGCCTCGACCGATTAGGGTGAGCAAAAAAAAGGGAGGAGAGGAAAGATGGGTGGAAAATAGGGGAGAGAAGAGAGAGTGATAGTGGGGAGGGGGAGGCGAGAGACCGGGAACACTTGAGCACCATCAGGTATCAGATCTGACAAGTTAAAATGTAAACAGTAACAGTGTAAAGACTATTCATTATTATTGATAACAGACACAATTCATATAATAATTAATTACTCAAATATTGTAATTAATAATAGCAATAATGGTAAAAGTTGTTGTCCTGAGGTTCTGGGGTCAGAGATATTTGAAATGAGAGAGAAAAAGAGAGAGAGAGACTATGGGAGTACAAAGTGAAATAGTCATTGACATGTATTAAAATAAATAAATGAGTGTGTGGGGGCAGAGAGACAGAGAGAAGTGGAGAGGTGCTCAGTGCATGATGGGAGTTCCCCCAGCAGTCTAGACCTATAGCAGCATAACTAAGATGGTTCAGGACTCACCTGATCCAGAACTAACTATAGGCTTCATCAAAAAGGAACGTTTTAAGTTTAACTTTAAATACTGGGACAGTGTCTGCCTCCTGAACCCAGAGTGGGAGCTGGTTCCACAGGAGAGGAGCCTGGTAGCTGAATGCTCTACCTCCTGCTCTACTCTTACAGACTCTTGGAACCACWAGAGAGCCTGTGTTTTGGGAACGAAGTGATCTATCTGGATAATAAGGTGTTATCAGCTCTTTGATATATGAGGGGGCTTGATTGTTAAGGGCTTTATATGTGAGGAGCAGGATTTTGAATTATATTCTGAATTTAACAGGGAGCCAATGTAGAGAAGCTAAGACAGGAGTGATATGATCTCTCCTTCTAGTTCCTGTCAGCACTCCTGCTGCAGCATTTTGGACCAACTGGAGACTTTTTACAGATTTCCCGGGACATCCTGATAATAAAGAATTACAGTAAGAGGTAACAAATGCGTGGACTAGTTTCTCAGCATCCTTCTGAGACAGGATGTTTCTAATTTTCTTAATATTGGGCAGGTGGAAGACAGCTGTCATACAGACTTGTTTTATGTGACCACCCTGCAGGTCAACCAGGCCGTCATCCCACCCTGGATTGCGCCTCATGGGTCACCTTCCACTCTGCTTCATGTCCAACATAAAGGTCCAGTGTGTAAGATTTAGGTGAAAGGGAACTATTGGCAGAAATTGTAAAATAATCCTCATGATGTTTTCACTAGTTCATTTCATCTAAATTGTATGAATTGTAGTTTTCTTTACCTCAGAAAAGACCCTTTATATTTAAATACTTTATATTTACATCAAGGGGACCCTCTCTACAGAGGCCGCCATGTTTTTTACATTAGTCCAGACTGAACAAACTAAAAACCTTTTGAGTTTTTATGACAACTGAAGCTACCACAGGTTCTTTTTCATGTTTGGAAGGAGAGGGTGAGGTGAGGGGTGTTCAGCTGCAACATGCAACTTCAACACTAGATATCACTAAATTCTACACACTGTAGCTTTAACAGATAAACAATAATGTGACAAAAATATGAACTTACTATGTATTGTTGAGGTGCATACAAATCTCAGAGCATGGGGACACTGCTTTATGTTTTGATGTATTACTGGTAAAAAGAGAACTTGTTTTGCCAAGTATTACAATAGCTATAATTACCAGTGGTGGCTGGTGAAAAACATTCTTGGTGGGGCTGTGCCGTGCCAAACTCAGTTTTCAGTAACCATCCCACTACGATTTAACACAAACTGCAGGATACCAGTTCTTTGTGAAATAGTAGGTAATTATTTAATCAATAAACAATAATAAACCTGTCAGTCATTTTTACACAAAAACAGATAGCGAACATTATACTGCATACTGCACTAACAAACTTAAAAAACTAAACTTGGAAAACTAAATCAAAATAATATATGCAAAAATAATAATTATCAGCCCATTGATAAATCATGTAAATTATTATTAGATGTTGCCCTTGTGCTCAGATAGTAAGTAGAGTATGCGTCATCAGACTACAGATTGAGTCGGTTTACTAGTGATTACGAAATACACATTCCTGAAACATATACAGTACTATTAACAAATACTATTAAGACAAAATAAAAGGAGGTGCCATATACCGCTGGATATCTTATGACTCATTCTTTATACATCCTGCTAGCCATGCTTTTCTGCTGTACCAGTGACGGGAAAATCCTCGGGTGTTCATTTTAATTTTTTCGTCTCTGCTTTATGGGCGACTTTTCCAGCGCCCCTGAACTGACTGTGTGCTCGAATACTTGTTTCCCTCACATTTCCACTGAACATATTTAAATGTTGAGATATTGCAGGGAGTATTGGGACAGTCAGGAGCAGCCACAGTGTCCTACATATACTGTAGACTTGTCATCTGCGACATGAAAGGTTAGCGTGTCAACAAAATGTGCGGGGAAAAATGAACACAACCAGACACTACCTGATCTTTTGCTCATCTTTTTATTTCATGATTAATATTCACATCACAGGTTAACAATTAATCACAAGGAACACCTCTTTCATACCAAATATTCAGAATTGCAGGGGGAGATGAGCTCTATCTAATAGGACAAATCCCTCTGACAACCAGCAGTTTGTTGTTGTCTGCATGCTCTGGTTATGGTGTTGTGCCCTACAGTATAATACAGCACACTACAGTGGATCCACTCCACAGGACTGAAAAGTAGATTGTTTTTGCCTATTTCCTCAGTTTTCAATGGCAGATTTGAACATGTGACTGAAATAAGTACAGAAAAACTCAAATAAAAGCAATCAAAATACAACATCTAGACATTACAAAGCAGAGTGTAAACAAAGAATTCATTTTTCCGCTCCTAAGCTGGAATGTTGGTGTGACTGGTATATCTGGAAGTTGCAAATAGAGAAAGCTACTTTTCAGTGCTGTGATGCTGACAAGCCTCTGTAGGTGGGAGACACAGTTGGGTTACATATCTACCAACGCAGTCTTGTATTAAGTCACAGTTACATGTCTAGTGATAAACTCTGTCTTTTAAGTTTAAAATCATGTTTGCTCAGCATTTATACTACACTTTTAGGAAAGAAAATAGTCAAAGATTTTTTCTAATGATAATTTGGTTCAAAACGTGCCTTAATTCACTTAGTTGGTAGGTATGTCAAGGTGTCTACAGGAGCTATCTAATACAGAACATTACTTTCTACCACATGCCAAAAGACTAAGTATCTTTACTGTTAGTCTAACTGGAGGTGCGGCTGGGCAGAAGAGAGGGCTGACCAGTGTGTGTCCAGTGTCACATGTAGAGCATTTCAAAGTAAAGTTGATTTCTGTCTCAGTGAACTTCACTAACCAATTCTAAAACCTGTGATTCTTGTGAGGGTTTCTTCGTACATGACACACACAGGCTCCCTTTCTGCCAATTTGAATCCAGAAAATAGCGTTTCTATTTGTGACTTACTGTATCTTCAAAAACAGAACAGAGACATACCTCATACATGAATTCATAATCTTGCATTTTTAATACATTTTTTTTTTTTTTAAACATTCTTGAAACTTCAGCAGCCCTTTTCTTGGCGGGGGAAAAGGCAAACTGACAAAAAGAAAAAGTACTCTTTTCCTTGTTTATGCTTTCAATCTTATAATAATACCATAATGAATCTTAACAGAAGCAGTTTTAGAGACATTAAAGCTCATCTGTCAACATCCACCCTGTAAGTACGTTTCTTTTTTTTGTTAGATTTTCATTTATTTGAGTTACTCCTTGAATGATTAAAAACATGGTTGTAACTACAGTGCATTCAGAAAGTATTCAGACCCCCTTTTTTCACATTTTGATATAATACAGCATTATGCTAAAATGATCGAAATTCATTTTTCACCTCATCAATCTATAATCAATACCCCATAATGCTATAGGTATTCCGACTCAGCTACTGAGCAAAGGGTGTGAAAATTTGTGTCAATGTGCCAATTATATTTTCCATTATTAATACATTTAAAATCCAGTTTTCGCTTTGTCATTTGGTGTTGAGCGAGTGATGGGGAAAAAAACACATTTAAAAGTTATTTTAGCATGCAAAGCAACAGAATGTGAAAAAAAGCGAAGGGGTCTGAATCTGAATGTACACAAAAGGGACAGTTTGACATACTAGTGGGAGGTGCAGTACATCAGGAGAATCAAACTGTTGTGGATGGATATCTGAGTGAATCTGGTTATTTCCTTTTATCCAAGCTACAAAGATGCAACATTAACTTTACGCCTCACATAATTAGTGCAATTAGTGTTTCATTTTCCTTATCTAAAAGTGATGTACCAGGGACCAGATATTTGCTTCTATTGGATAGATCCGTGTGCCGCTGCTTTAACATACACTACGAAGTATTGCCCAACCCATATATGAGACTTTTGAGGTGCTAGTATCAATATTGATTTTTTCTTGATTTTACTGTAGATTCATACATTTTCAAACTGAATCCCACTCTTTATCATCACCAACACCCAAAACCCGCTGTCTATCTGGCTTCACTCACTTCCTGTGTACACAATGGCACAAGGAAGGAGACCTCATAGGTTTAAACGCAACTCATCCAAATGAAGTTGCTGCAAGTTGCTATCTTCTCTTTTGAACATTACTTAACATACCATATGCTAGAGGACTGGAATTCAACCATGACACTCATGATGCTGTACCTTGATGCCAGTCCTCTCGTGGCCTAGCTCCCTGGACTTCATGGAAACTTTAACTTTATGTCAGTGTTAGAGGAACAACATGATGGCAGACTGGAGATTTCAGTGTTGAACTATCAATACCAACAGCACAACACAAATAGCCAAAGTACCACTAAAACCCATGAAGCTGACCAAGATACAGTAAAGGGTCACCATTGTGTCACCCATGATATCCAACTTGAACTCATTCCATCATATGATACTTTTCACTGAGCTTCCAACACACCCTAAGACTAGAACTTCTTCCTACTTCTATACACACAAACCACTGTCTATCACCTATCAAAGAGCATTCATCCCTATGTTCTTTTCTTTTTTTCCCTTTTTTTTCTTACATATGATCCACGTGTTTTACTTTTAGGCATCTCATGACGATGATTTGGAGCAACAGTACAATATTAAATATGAGCAACTTTTACATTGCCTCAGTATATCAAGAGTGTGTTCAAAGTGCACAGGACTTTAGAGCTTTAAGGGGAAACTGTACATTACTCATATGGTTTTGATAGCTGTACGATTCCAGACACAATAACTAAGTGTGGCCATCAAAGCTAGTTTAAATGAGAACAGCAAGTAACTCTACAGTAGTTCCATAAATGGTGATGTGAGGTTTCTCAGCCAGCCTTTGTTTGGTCTCAGAGCCAGACTATCAGTGTTCCAGAAGCTAAGCAACACTCTCTGCAGGACGGATGCAGTAGCAACACTTCACACATCTGACAGGTACGGCAAAACACCACAAACATGTCACCAATCCTTCATAGTTTCAGTGGAGACCATCCCGGCCTATAGTGCATAATGCATAGAATTACAGTGAATAGACAGGGCCCTCTCCTTAAAGACGCTTCTGCTTCGATTAATTTTAATGGTGTAACACATCACAACGCTTGTGTTCTGTAAATCAAAGTCACATCACAGTGTTGTTTTAATAGAATCTAAAATGCCAAAACTATTTATTAGATTAATTAAAAAAAAAAAAAAAAAGGGTGATTCACACCTTTTCTCCATGGTAGATCATTGAAGATTGTGGAAACAGCAACAAAAAGAATTCCCTCAAACTTGGAGCTTATTTCTCATTAATCATTGATTTGATTTTGTGTGCTACGACTATTTTAAATTGTTCAATCATTTAAATTGTGGATTTCTATTTGCCAAGGACTGACTTGTTCAATAGAAAGACAACTTGAAACACCTCTGGATAGTGCCAGCTGCTGTATTTGCAGGCCCTTCTTTGCCTCGTTGAAATACTGCTGCATTCATGGCATTTTGGAGCTGCGTCCAGTGAAGTTGAATAATTTAACAATTGTAAATAGCTCTTTTTTAATATGTCTTTTGTATATCCAGTGTTATCATATACATTACAAACAAGGCTTAACTAGTGTGTAAAAAAACAGCATTAGAAAGAGCAATTTGCGTCCATCTATATACACTACGGTAAAATATATGCCAAAGAAACAGATACCTAGAAACGTCTGTGCAGTAGTAACATGAATTGGCTTGGTAGTAGCTTTTAGTAAGTTCAACTAGTGAGTATCTAATAAATAAATAAGTAAATCACTTAAAAGAAATTGTCAGACTTGCCATGAATGTAACATTATTCCCTTAAATGGACGGCTCTTCCTGCAAGCAAACTCGCTGCTCTTCTAACCTGTCAAACTCTGTGGTCATTCTCTGTCTGTCTGTCCCTCATATGTATGAGCAGGTAACAGGAGGTGTTCCTGATCACTGTATTACTGTCAACAATGTCAGAGTGGAACACCAGAGGAGGAAATAGACAAAAATGAGACAGCACGAGGTGAGCCTATGATGCAAACGTCCAACAATGACTATGGCAGGAACGACACACCGACACAGCTCATCATTGTTTTAACAATATCAGCATAGACCACCAAAACACAATAAAGAGTTGGTTTCATTCTACAACAGAGAAATGTCTTTATGAGCAGCATACCGTTTTCATTTTAGGGTGCTGCCTTGTGTTCGTGTATCATACCGTATATGTGTATATGTGCTGATTTCTGTGTGTGTGTGTATGCACACTAACAAGCGTGTGTGCTTTTGTGGATGAATCTGTGCTTATTTGTGTGTTTGTGTGAAGAAAGTTAGCAGGTTTCACAGAGTGGGTTTCTAAGACGCACTGGCTGGTGGGAGGACCTGATCCCACTGGGATGAACCGAATGACCAAGACGTGCCACATGCGCAAGAGGATGGGTGCGGTCCGTCTGTCTGTCCGTCTCTAATAGCCACATTAGGGCTATATGTACTAGACGCAGCTCAGGGTGACTGCTGGGGTCCCCCCCCTCCATAGGGGACTTCTGTTCATGTCTATGAGTGGGACTGAGGATACGGGGGAGGTTTGGTATCACTATCTCGCTGTCAGAGAGATCAGACAGTGTTGGAACCAAAATATTATGGTGCGGGAGAACAGAGGGTAACATGTACTGTGGCAGATACGGACATACTGAAAAGACTAAACATTTCAGTGCCCATTAGGTTTGTGGGATATGAGTGTATGAGCTTATTTAAAGTTGGGTGGTTGTAAGTAACACAGTGAGTATTTTTTTATTTAATATTGAATATAAGGTGCTTTTTTTACTTTCAATAATCCAAACTGAAGAGGTCTGCAGTGCTGACATAACCAAATAGTATCTCTGTTAAGCCCAAGTGTTTTGCCTTGTTGCATGAACAAATATTCAAGATATTGTGTTACTGTGAATTGAAGCCCTGTCACACCAGAAAGTGGCAAAACAAAACTCATCCACAGCCTGGATCTAGAGGCTTGGAGTTGCAGGGACTACTCACAGGGGCTACATCTACTGTAGCTGGCAAACAAACCTCTAAGACCCTGGCAGGCATTGAAATTACAAGAGCTACGTCAGACACAAGAGTTTATTCTGTCCTCTGATCTAAATCAGCTTGCTAGACTCCTCTGTCTCAAGTGTCTGCAAAGCCTAACCCTCCTCTGTCAGTATATACTCTGGGAGGGGATTCTTAAATAAAAACGGATTTTGAAAAAAGATATGAAAACCACTTTTGGACTCACAGGTCAAATTAAAAGTCATTATAAAAACATTTGCATGCTTTTACTTTGCCCACAGACAAACCACTGATTATCTGCTGAAGTTCAGTGATTTTGCCAAAACATTTCACCACTTTAAGTTGTGGTGTCTTTTGGACTTTAAACTGCAGCTTGCGGCGAGGTGGTTCACAATGTCTACAACAAGGAAAGTGCTACATACAATACCATGTGCATCAATGCTATCACATTACTTGACTTAAGGGTGCAGCAGCTCGCAAGATCTAACACTAGCCATCAAGTGTTAGCTGCTCTTGTTCAGTTTCACTCCTTCAGCTTGAATCAGTGTTCACTCCTTCAAGGTCAAACACATCTTAACTTAGAAAAATATTTGGCTCCAGTATCAAATAACTGTGTTCAGTGCCAAATCCTCTTTGAGCCAAGGCTACCCAGAAGCACATGACCCCCTATAACTTTACGCCCACCTACCTTGATGACTATCACAAACTCATTCACTTTATTGTATCTTTAAAGTGCCTCACAAGTACTGCCAATGAATACTTTAAAACATAACACAGGAATTATCTGACGTCCTAAAACTTTCTGCACTGACCATCTTCATATACATTTCTGTATCTACTCAACTCTTATACTATACTCTTAGAGATAAACCGGTGCAATAATACCAAGAGAAGTAATGTAGGATTAAATCTGAATGATCTATAATCAGACATCGTGCAGAGCTGTAGATAATATAGATCTGGAAATAATTGCTGGCTGCCTGGGAGGCTGGAATGTGTTGATTTTAAGCCGACTTGACAGTCTCGTCGTGCTGCTGGCTGCTAGCAAGCCCTCAGCTGGTTAGTGTGAGCTAAATGAATAAGGACTGGGGACATTGGCATTGAAGGATAAAAGTGGTTTTGAATTGTGAAAGAGTTAAGCCTCAAAACTCTGTTGTGAGGGTGTCTGGGCCACAAGTACACGTGTTTAAATAAGAATTAGATTCATAAATGGAAATCTTCTATGAAAAACCTGCTCAATATAGTTAATACAGCATTGACTACGATGGTGGTGTTATTGCGTAGGGGTTTTTTAGGTGTTGAGGTTATCTAAGTGCTTAGAGGGGAGTTTTATGAGTCGAGAAGCTGGTGGTATCCCACAAGGAGAAACACAGACAAACAGCAAGTGCTGTTCTCTGTTACAGGTGAGGCCAAAGGTCAACCCGAGGATGTCGAGAGGTCAGAGGTCAGGGTTGGTAGCGGGAGGCTGGCAAGCAGACCCCAGAGAAACACTGAGAGGCGATCGTTCAGTTTGGTGCTGCGGTGGGCGAGATGAAGGGCGGGGCGAGAGGGAAGTGACTGCGCTGTGGTTGGTAGGTTGGCCTGTTGATTGGCAGGTCGGCGAGGGCCATGCGTGTCCCACCAAACTCTACAAGTCACTGGGACTCAATCTGAGGAAGGGAACAAACTGGATTAAGAAGAAAGAAGAAGGAGATAAAAGGAGAGAAAGTAATACAGAGACAGGGGGAAATTTCCAGGCTTTATATTTAACCAGCCAGATGGTCTTTAACAGGCTGTCATTGCCGTCATGAAATATGTTTTAGATTGTGTTAGCACTACAGCACATCCATCAATTAGGGCAGAATTTGGCAACTGCGTCAGGTGGCAGAAGTCTGGTGTCTCTCTGAACTCAGAGAGTCTGGAGGCCAGCTGTAGTGCCAGAGATAAATGTATCCCCTAACACATCCTGATCTTCACTCTGTAGGGCCCTTCATTATTTCATTTATTGGCAAAGCATCTGTTACTTTGACCACCTCACGCCCTCACACATGTAGCAGATATCAGGCATACACAAACACCTTTCCCTCTTCTTGTCATATAAGTTTTCATTTACGTTGTGGTCATGTGGCTCTTTTGACGGGCATTGTTCAACAAAGGGGGCTGGGGGGCAGCGATGTGTTCACTTGACCAATTGTCAGCCAGACACCTGAATGAGCAGTAAATGAGCGTACCTCATGACCAGTCACTGATCCAGGGGATCGTCTTTTTAAGTTACATTTGTTTCCCCTCAACATAGTTATTCTAGTGCCTGGATCCTCTGTTCATGATGCTTCAGTTTGCAAATCAAGATTCTAAAATTCGAAGGTGCATATACATTCAAATTGGTGTGATGATTGCAACAACGGGATTCAGTTACATTTACTTAGACTTTTATTTGCTTTTATTTTTCTTAAAACTTATATAAATTTGTATTACAGTAGTGACTTCATGACATCACAGATTGGCCGCTGTGTGCACACGTGTGTTTCCACTTACTTGTCTCAGTGATGCGCTTGTCTATGCTAAGGGGCTCCCTCAGTCCATCCCCCCCGAAAGGAGAAGGTGCGGACTCCTTCGCCCCATTCTCCTTAGCAACACCTCCGGGTGCTGTTGCCTTAGCAACGCCTGCTGGTCCTGTTGCTGGAGCACCACTTGGGGGAGAAGTTGTCTTCTCCTCTGCTTTCTCCTCCTGTAGCAAAATATAGACACACAGGGGCAGGGACACAGATGCACACAAGGAACAATGTTTTTTTTTTACAGCTTACTGCTCTCATGCAACCACACCATCTAGTGGCGTAGGTCAGTAAAAGCACAGTGATTCAGCAGAACCTGAGACGTTCACGGCCTGTTAACTGATAATATTCAGTTTAAGTTTGACCTTGTGTCCATTGGTCTGTCCGTTGCCGGGGCCCACATTATCCAGAGAGCCAATCTTAGACTTAGCCTTAATGTTTTGCTTATGGGACTCAATCTTCACATCACCACCACCTAGGATAAAAAAGAACAACAGAATAGAATAGAATGGAACAGAGTTTAAATGGAGGGGAACAGAGGAGGAGAGAACAGACGGTTCAGTCGAACCTGGCTTGTATTTGATGTTGTCCTTAGAGCCACATTTGGAGGTCACCTTGCTCACATCAACCTTCTTACTCAGGATCTGCACCTGGAGAGATGAACAGATTCAAATGTAGCCTCTTTATAAAGACACCACTTTCAATGGAATAGTACAATACATCTGCTAAAAATTGTACATGTACAG